GGGAGTGTATCCCTAGGGCTCCAACTGGTGCCAGGGGTGGGTGGTCGACTGGGGGTCGAATACCACCAGTCACCGGGTCGGAGATGGGACGTTCGGAGCCCTAATCCATAGACGAAGGGTGAGACAATTACGACAGATCTTTTTGTTCCAGTCGAATGCTGCGCCGGAAGAGCTCCAGCCGCCGAAGAGCTTGCTGGAGAGCTAGCTCGCTGCTCCCCGTGTACCGAAGCCTGCAGAAATCGGGCGGTTCCTGCAGAGAGACCGACCATTGTTACCGAGCCAGGCTCGACAAGGAATGTGTGGGTTTCAAAATTCAACCCAGACGACCCGAAGCAACTGCTACATGTCATGAGGTCCAAAGACCTACTTCAATCGATGCATTCTAGTTCTATCCTGAATCAAACTGCTGAACCTGTCCTGTCTAACAAACAATTGCGACAGAATGGCCCAGTACGGCCAAAACTATGCCAGCTTGAGGTACAACCGTACAACCCCTCAATTAAAAAAGCAGCATTACTTTGTTTAGATTCGGAGCCTTGGAACATTCAAGAACTTGACAAAAAAGGGGGAACACATATTTGGTAGGCATTCTATCAAGGGTTTGGCAGGCGTGTTCTTGAACATCTTGAACTAACCCCGAGGCCTGACACCCTCCAAGAACTCATCTTTGCTACTCATGCACGCTCATGCGATGGAAAAGACTGTGGACATGGGGTGAATGGGTTTATATAACAAGCCGTCGCCTCCCAATGGGATTCATCAATGTCCGAAATCCAGAATGCAAGTATTCCAGCTATAGCATACACTCCAATAATTTTATCATGGAGGTGGAAAACCACCTGTTTGTGCAGGAAATTGTATTCCAAGCTGATATTTTCCACTCGCACGTACATAATCGTATATATATTAGAGTTTTGTTCAATCGCACGGCCGCACAAAAGAACGCGCTGTTCGTCGTTGGGTATGATATCTTCCTCGGTCGCACATGGATTGGTCATGGAATGTCTGGCAGCACGTGTCTCCATCCAACAAACCTGGCCTTTTAAAAGCAACACGCTTCGTTTCCAACGACCTGTTTGCAGAGGGGGGCCGTCAATAGGAGCCGTCATCTCACCGCAGCGAGGTCCTTCGATAGATCGGTCCTTCGCGGTGCCACTCATCGGCCTTGGATGGTTCTGGGTTTTGGGGGGTCACATGTCTTGATGGCCTTCCAACAGGAGTAAGGAGTGGTTTTTATATATCAAAACGCCCCCCCCCCAAAAAGAGACCGCATTCATGCATGGCATATATGTTATACTTATATTTTTGTGAGCATGAGCGCCATTCGCAAAAAGAGCTGGTCACGATCATTGTCGATTCTCGGGTTTGGCTCGACGTTGAAACAGACAGACCATGTGTCACCTTAGTTCCCTTCGACCTGAGATGAGAGATCCCGACGTGGTGGCGACGCATGCGCGCGAGAAAAGGCCATCCATTGCGGCGTTACCGGGTGGTACTGGGTGGACACAGTTAGACTAGTTCATTTGAGCCACTCTATAGACCGTGTGTGCGCTGCCAACCAGTGCTTTCCTTTTTGTAGGACAGCTATAAGCAGTGGCGTGAAGCAAATTCTTACGAGATTTCAGCAGATGCCACGCGTTTTCAGAGCTGCTCATTTGATTTCACAGGTGACAGAGAAGGTGAGATCTTCCCCCTACCCATGAAACCTCTTGGGGTATTGGTTTTCTGGGAAAAAAACCGGCTGACGCCCGTCATCGGCGGACCACCAACGCAGTGAGCACCTCCCGGAAGCAAGGACGCGTCGAAGGGCTGAAGAGGACTGACTCCGAGATTTGAGGACGTTTTGTTTGCTCCACCCTCAGAGGCGACCCTGGACCCGAACCAACTGCTACATGTTGGAGGTCCAAAACCCTGGCTGTGAGGGTCAAAACCATGAGACTTTGGGCCTGAAACATTGTGGATCCACTGATCCACCGTACCGACCTGAATCGGTATATGACTGGGCCCGAGCCATGTGGCACCTACATAACAGTGTCTCCGTTCGCCCTCACCGTACCAGCCTGCTTCGGTATGTGGATCCATAGGGGGACCATGAATGGTCGGACGTAGCGGTATACACCCCACCCAGGTGCTGAGGAAAGCCTAATAGACGTGGAAGCTGCCATTGTGTAGCGGGTGTTCATTCGATGCTCCGGAAAACTTTGGAACCTTACTACTAGCAAGGACGCTACGTTTAGTAGTAATGGCCTGCACCCTATATTAGCGATGGCCTCTAACCTAATCGCGATGACCTCCAACCTAATAGCGATGGCCCACGTTCCGACTAAGATCAATCTGGACCTCCGAACTGGACCTGGACTTGCATTAAGCTGATTCTTTTTTCCGGATGAATCCTCAAACCTGGTGAAGATTTGTGTCATGTTCTTCCCCGGCTTCCGGGGATTTGACTCCCGGCGTTTGATCCAAGTGATCCAAGTGGAGCCCCCACAGGGGCTTGGAGTCCCAAATGTTCACCCCTTCAGGTCGGGTCCTTAATTCTCTCTCTCACTGCTGCGGGGTCTTCTACTCCCTAGACGTGTGCCCTTAGTTTGATTTTAGACTACAACAACCAGGTCAACCGTTCCTTTTGAGGGTCTTGGAAGGCTAAGGATTAAATATTCTTATCATAACCCTAGGGATCCAGTCGTACCGAACCTCAGGTTTTAGGTGAGGAAGGAGGCACTGTTATGTAGGTGCCATTGTCGGGTCCAGTCGTACCGAACCTGAGGTTCGGTACGAAAAAACATCCCTAGGGATGGCGCAAAATCCCTGTGGAAGCCACGCTAGCGCAGAAGTCGTGTGCAATCGGGGATGGCGCAAGGAGTGGAGCAATTCAGTCGAATGCGCAGGGCATTCGACTGACCAGTGGTGGATCGTCCATGGTTCACCCCTGTTCACCCTTCCAATCTTGATCCATATAGACAATTGACCCCTCAAACCACCGCAATATAGGCAAATATGCCATACATCGAGTGTTTGGGATATATTTCTATGCAGACTACATCAAATTACCGGCAAGATCCGTTAAGCAAGGATGATGACATGTAATGACAAAGCTCCATGCCCTGTGAGGATTCAGGATGTGTGGTTCAGTCCTTTTCTCGCAATCAACAACTCAACAAGAACCACAACCTGCAACGGTTGATGTGCTTGTCAGCACCGGACCGTCCGCACAGACTCAGACCAGCACTCTGTCCCGAAGAAGACCTGCACCGAAAACGAAACCTCCAAATGACCCAGCCAGTGACCCCTAGGCTTTTTGTGTGCCCAGAGCCTGACTGACCTATGTTTTGATGGGAAAAGACCATATTTGGGGATAGTTGATCCTCCAAGCTTCAGGACTCGGGTCACAAAAAGGCTCCAGGTGAACAACACCTCTCGGGTCTCGTTCCGGGTAAACGTGCGCCGCACGTGTGGCCGAGGTCTCACGCGGCGGATTTGACTGAGATGGCTGGAGTTTGGGAGCATCCAAGATGGATGCAGAATCCTCAAGGGATTCTGGCATTTAGTAAATTGAGTATAGACTCTTTAGACTGAGTCTCTCCGAAGCAAGGCCTTGCGCTCAGTGAGGCTGGTGTGTGAATCACCTTTTGTGAATCATCCTTGGAGAAGATTTATAATCATAGGGATCTAGCTTTGGAGGGTATGTGAATCACCTCCATCATCCCAGACACTCCATGTAAGGATATACATACATTGGCATGGTTGACCTGGGATGAATGTGGGGAACTATACCAGTCCCGTGGAGTGTTTGGGTTAGAGAAGATTCACCAATTGACTGCTCCCAATAGGTCAAACCCCCTCCCCACCCACCGGTGTGTGCCCAAAATCCCTTCCCCAAGCCACCGGTGTTTGGGTGACGTGACCGAGAAAACCACCCAAAATGAGTCAATCCACCGCGGTGTTGTTGTTTTTTGGGCCACCGAAGGAGTCCACCGAGCTCGGCGAGGACGGAGAGAGCTCGACCGAAAAAGACACTGCGGACGAGCTGCGAGACGCTGCTGTTCCATGGGAGAACTACAGGCCAAGTCATGAAGACCATTTACTTGGTATATCAGAAATCCAGTGTAGCAGTGCTACTGTATAAGGGTTTTTCAATGGCCGTCCAGGAAGTCGGCAAGTAGTGTTAGCCCCTAAAGGAAGTCACATCCGGGGATGGGACGCGCCACTCATAGCCAGTCAGTGGATGACCTGAAAACCCTTTTTTTTGGGGGGGGAGTGGTTTGCCCACCAAACCAGAACAGGTAGACTCTAAGGTTAGCCCTTTGTTTCCGGACAAGGCTCAGGAGTCAGTCACTGGGTGGTGTGCCTTTTGGTGGCGGAAACAGCGTCAGCTCGAGCTGAGGAACCATGTGAGTAGGAACCATCAACGGCTGAGGAACCATATATGGCTGTGGGTCATGGATGGTCATGGCCACCATCCATGAATGGTGTTCGTTCTTGGGTGGAAAAACATCTGCACTAAACCCCTGGTTTTCATCCCCAAAACTATGGTTTTTTCCAAGAATGAACAGACTAGACTCTACCACCCAACAGGTCAACCTACCCTGGTTACCCCTGGTTTGGGGCAACCGGGTGCCATGACCTGCGGAGGTCGCCAATCAGCCAACCCGACTCCCTCTTAAGGCCCAGGCTTTGTCCCCCGCGCTGATCCCGGAGTTCCTCAGGTCCCGGATTTACTCAGACACTCCATGTAATCATGGAAGAGTTTACTGCTTTGGGGTCCCTTGACCTGGGGTCAATGTAGGCATATCTTGCATGCATGGATATATATTGGGTCTGTCCTGTTACCTGTAACAGTCAGTAAACAATTACTACTATTTTTGACCAAGACCTTAATTTACTAACCATCATCATCCACTGAGCCCAGGTATTAGGATACACGAAAAACTTCAGAGCTGCCTTTGCCATCGTTCGGACGTGAGCAACGGACCTTCTTCGACCCAGTCGCCCGTCGTCAGGGCCGGAGGTGCCTCCATATCTCCGTTTCGTGGGCTCCATCGCCATCAAGCGCGGAAGGCCCAGGAAGCGCGTGGAACGCTGGAACAGCTCGTTGGTCAAAAAAAAAAGAAGAAGTGGAAACTTCAAAGTTGCATCGAATTGATCCCGGAGACGAAATATGTGGTCACCAGCTTCAACGAAGCTCGTGGATTCCAGAGGTGCAAGAAACCGAGGTCCGACTGTATGGAACATGAACCGCTCAGCTGATTTTCCCCCACCTGATTGATTGGTGATGCACAACAAGAAGACAGGGAACAAAGTGGCGTCACTCTTCCACAAGCTTTGACGGTTTGTGCCAACATGTGCCAAAGAGGTTCTCCTCAACAAGCCTGGTCGTCACGCCATACACATGAATAGATGCCTTATGACGGTGTCGTCAGCTTTGCTTCTTGCATACACCGATAGACGCTTCAACCAGCTCCAGCAATGGCAGCAAAATGTCATACCAGCAGCGATGATCGCGCTGTTCTTGCTCATCACCTTTGGCTTGTTAAGTTGACAGTGGCTTTGGGGCATCAATGTCAATGCTGTCGATTCAAGCGGAAGCCAAAGATTCCAAAGTATCCTTCCTTCTCCCACCAGATGGGGAGGACATCCCAAGGATTATTGGATCAACTTTGTTCCTTCTTGCGTGAATTGCGTTGGCTCGTTGATGCGAGACGCAGCCGTGTGTGGCACAATGCCTTGCTGGAAGTCAACCACCAATGCCTTTTTTGCAATTTACAAGTTGATCCGTGGGACTATGTTTGAGAAAACAGATCCCTTTTCCCTGGCAAATTCCATTCGTCTCATCCAAGATACTGTGGGAGGGTCTTGCCCCAGGGTTGCATCACTGGGCGGCCATTCCCTTTCACATAGATCAATGCAGAGTTGGGGTTGCTCGTGGATCTGGCTGGAAATTGCAACATTATTTAGCATTATTTAGCCGCTTTAGCTTTGTATGTGTGTGACTTTTGAGCTGTCTTAGTCTTGCATGTGCTTTTCACGTGGTTGCTTTGTACCTGTGGTCCAGCAACACACTCTATCCACGCTTTGCAGATGGATTGGAGCGTATGAGGTAGCATGGGATGCTGATGTTTTCGCCATTGTACACCTCATGTTCTATTCAAAGTGACCCAACGTGGGTGGGTTTTTTCGTGACGGGTGTGTCACGGCTAATTTCCCGTAACAATGGGCTGACCAAGTTGTGGGCGGACAGAAACAAGAGAAGATGGGCGTCCGACTTGTTTCAATGATTGCCAAAACTGGTTTCAAGAATTCAGCCCTGAGATTGGACAAATTCCTGCAAACAAGAACAAAAATAACAGTGAAAAGCTTGGCGACACCTATGTATAGGGAGACCCTAGACAGGTACCGTAATATTCTGCAGGATTTTAGCTTGATCATGGTGCGAGACTGCTGCTGGGTGGTTGCTTGCCTATAGCTTGCAGGTTCTCAGAAATTTCCATTGATTTCGGCAAGTGGCCTGAAAGCCTTGATCTAGACTTGACCAGGCACCGAAAAACTGAGACCGAGCGTTTATAGAGCGCCTACTCAGACCCTCCAAGGTACCTTACAAAATGGGAGATGGCCTCATAAAGCATACCCAGTTCCTGAGGGACTTTTAGATCAGAAAAGACAAGGAGGGAAACACAAAGAAGGCGAACGCTGTGTAAAGAAATCATGCGCAACATGATGAAGCATGTTGCTTCGTTGAATATATGTGGCAAGGCGTTACTATGTATACCTGAGCAATGGTCGCCCGGATCTTTGCAATCCAGGGCTAGGGCGAAGCCTGCTCCCACCCAAAATGCCTTGCCAAGCCATGCCGCTGACTCTTTGTTTGTTCCCCGTGATATGTTTCCCCTGGCAAGCCAAACCAGCACACCACCTCAGCACACCTTCTGTCTTTGGCAGTGTGGCCCCGGGAAATCGGCGTGAGAAGACGGCCATGGTTCGGTCTCATCAGGGTCGGGATGCCATACTTTCATTCAGCGCATTGAAAATTTGGTTGAACTCCAGCAGCGGATGTTTTGTCGGTCAAATTCACGCATTTTCTGCAAATTCCTGCGAACTCCTGCGAACTCCTACGAACTCCTGCCAACCCCTGCGAACTCCTTGCGAACTCAGGGCGATTGGGCTGGGACGTCCCAATTCGCACGTTATTCCTACAGGTTTTCAACCCTGAGAATTAGTTTCAGCGCGCGTTTTCACCTGAAGCCAGCTCGAGATGTATGCCCAAACTCTCCGTTCAATGGAGATTATGTGAAAAAATCTCGTGCAAATTTGGAGATTTAGCAAAACTCCTGTGAGCTCCGGCGAACTCCGACGAACTCCGGCGAACTCCGGCGAACTCCTGCGAACTCCGGCGAACTCCGGCGAACTCCGACGAACTCCTGCGAACTCCGGCGAGCTCCGACGAACTCCTGCGAACGAACTCCTGCGAACTCCGGCGAACTCCGACGAACTCCGGCGAACTCCGACGAACTCCTGCGAACGAACTCCTGCGAACTCCGACGGACTCCAGTGAACTCCGACGAACTCCTGCGAACGAACTCCGGCGGACTCCGGTGATTTCTGCGACGAAGCCCCCCAGCGAACTCCGACGAATTTCCAACTATTATGCATGTTTTTTGGACTTCCAATTCCTCAGTTTTTGGACATCGTGTCCCTCATGGACCTCACGGCGTCACGGTCCACTGCTTAATTAACCCCAAGGTAGATCAACCACATTCAACCACCAACTGCGACAATCCAGGCACAGTGTGCAACTGCGATGGTAATTGGTGTTTCGGCGAGTTCTTGAAGCCGGAATTAATTGAAAAGCTGGGCGCACACCTTCCTTCTTTATTGTTTGCCCGCAGCCTGTTCAGCCCCTGCTGCGCGAAACAAGCCTTGAGCAACCCAGTTGGTTGCTTGTCAGTTCGCGGTTGCGCTCGATTTTCTCAGTGTAGCTTGCCTGGTGGGACTCGGGGAAGAGAGAAGAAGTCAGCAGCAAGTCCATTTGGTTAGTGAAGGCTGGGGCATACCCTAGTTTGCAGAGAAACTTACGGGCGCGTGTTGGGTACATAGCCTTCTGGTAGGTCATTCGGCAAGATGACACATGGTGCGTATTTTGCACAGCGTTCGCGTGCTTCGTGTTTCCCTACTCTGGTTTTTGAATCCAAGCGGGCTAATTTCTGATTTTCAGCTTTTCTGCTCCTGGTCAATCCTTAATTCAAGGTTTTTTTGCCATCTTCAGTCTTCGCGCAGAAAATTATGAAAATCCCTGCGAACCCGTAACGCTCACGAAAAAACCCAAACGTGGGTAACTGTTTTACACCATAATCGTACTCATTCACCCCACGGTCAACCCACCACGGTCGCCCCGGATGTCTAACCAGCCCATGCGACCTGATTTCCATCACCGAAGGCTCGGCCCGGCTCGATCCAGCACCGGTCGGTTCCGGTTCCACCCGAGGCCCTTAACGGAGGAGTTAGTGCAACGCTTCTGTGAGGCGAGCGAGGGGGCGAGCGAGCAAGCTCGGGCTTTAGTGGTGTCATCCACCGCGCCGGTGCGGTGTGGTATTTTTGACATAGCTTGTGGGGGGGGGGATGGGGCTCGATATTACACCCTAGGGATCCAGTCGTACCGAACCTCTGGCAACCCTTAGCTTCCGAGAAGCTACCTTTTTTTTCATTGCTCCAAAAAGTTGTCTGCCAGCCTGTTTTTTTGGCTTCCAGGTTTTTTTATGTTAGAAGCCTCTGGAAGCCAAAAAAAAAGGCTTCTAGAAATCCAAAAAAGAGGCTTCTAGAAGCCAAAAAAAGAGGCTTCTAGAAGTCAAAAAATATAGCTTCTGGAAATGTATATCTATAGATATTCTTATATATTTATGTAACATCATGATACATTTATGCGCTGCATCACTCTTTTTGTCTATTTCATTTAGCCATTGCTGGCTTGGCTTGTCCAAGATGAGGGAATGGAGTGGCTGACATCCACCTCAGCAAGACCTTTTCAGAAGCCTTGCCAGGCTGGAATTTACCACCTCTGCGAAAAAATAAAGTTTGCAGTGACCCTGCAAATGTTTCATCCTTATAATTCCAGCTGTCTTTTGGACGGTTACCAAGCTCAACCAAATCCAAAATGTGGGCCAAGAGGTGGAGCTTGGGCTTTGATCTCCACAATCGAACCTCTGAGCCATCACTGGCTTGGACTTCTGCTTCTAAAGCCATGTACTGGCTGATGAATTTTCTTCCAGCCTTCACCAGTTCTTGTTTGTTGGAGGCTTCTAAACTGTTGTACATATGGCTGCAGTACTTGGCCACTTTGTAGACAGCTTTCTCATGCCAGGTGCCTTCATGCAGGCATTGTCTTTTGCACAATGGTTCGAGAAGGGGGCAAAAATCCCTGACTTCATGGGCCTTGCAATCCAAAACTGAGCTTTCTTTGGTTTGACTATATCCTTGACAGTCAACTTCTTGAGCCTTTTGCAGCCTGGAAAATCTCTTTCTTCATACATTTTTTGAATCTCTTGCCAGAGATTGGCACATCTTTCATCTTGAGAAGTGCCTGGAAAAGATGGCAGTAATTCTTTCAGAATTTGCCCTGCTGCCACAGCAAAACTGCCCTCATCACAAACATGCATCCAATCTGGCATGATGGTGCCATTACTGACATTGGGCAATTGAAACAAAGGATTGATTGACTTACCTCGATCCATGAGGAAAGTCAAGTAGGCATCCTTGTCCATGGTTTTCTCCAACCTAGCCATGCTCTGGCTCATTTACCTCCAGTTGTCTGGAGTGGCTTGGCACAGCCAGCAATTCCCTTTCTTCTCATTCCAAGTGCCTGCTCCAAAGTATTTACAATTCCAATCCCAATCAGATCGAATTTGGATGAGGGTTGCCTTCCCAGGCAGAGCTGCGCCTGCCCTAAATTTTCTGTAGGCATCATGCTTCAGCCAGGGTGAGCCATCATGTCTGGCTGTGGGAAAAGTGCCTTTGTTCAGGCAATCGAAGCTCCAAAACAAAATTCCACATATTGCTTGGATTGTTTCTGCTGCTATCATTCTGGTATCGAGGCAGCAGATAGGAATCCTCATAGCTGAGAAAGCTGGGCTGCATGGCAAATTCATGGACCAAACATCTAATGTGGATTGATTCATGTACAGGCACTCTGCCCAAGCTTTGACCTCATGAGGTCTCTCAGGCAACCCCAGCACTGCAGCTTCTGCCAGCTTGTTGAAGTCTGGGTCTTGTGGGTCAGCACCCTGCAACTTGGCTATCTGGTACTTAACCATCGATGACTTTGTCAGTCCTTTTGAGCCTTTCCAGGCTTTGTTTGTGTACACTGCGACTGGCTGCAGATTCATCCAGAAGGAAAGTGTTGTAGTAAAACTCTCTTTTGGCTTGTTGGCTTCCATTGGCACATGCCTTGTCCCAGGCAGTCTTGAGGGCTGTGTCTCCAGCCTTGGCTTTCCTGGCAAGTTGCTGGTGCATGTCCTTCCAAGCATCTTTTGAAGGAGCAGGCGACTCCCCATCCTTCACTGCTCTAGCCTTTGCAGGCTTGGATTCAGTACTTGGGGCTTCCATAGCTGCTGCCTCAGAGGCTACAGAAGGAGTTGCCTCTGGAATGGCAGAGCCACTGGCTTTTGCTTTTGCTTTTGCCATGGCTTTCTTCTTGGGGGTTGGTGGCTCCACCTTCACATCGGGAGCCTTTCTTTTTGCCATCTAGCTACAGACACTGGCCAGTTGTTTAAAGCTTGAGGTCAGAAAAATGGCTGCAGATTTTTTTGGGTGGGGTTGAAAAATGTGACCAGGAACTTTTTGGAACTTTCGGAACTTTTGGAATTTTTGATTTATATAAGAAAGCAATATCTAGGAAGAGAAAGTTCCAAAAGTTCCATAGTCCAAAAGTTCCAAAAGTTCCTTTTTTACATCCCTTTTGAAGTACCACTGAAAGCAGGCAGGCGCACCTTTTTTTTCCAAAAACTCTCAGCTGCAGTGCTGGTAGAATGCCTTTTCAGGCAGGGTGCCATTGCTGGCAAGTTGCCATTGCTGGCATTTAAGGAGCAGCAACTGGTTCTGCTGCCCCTGCACCTCCAGTATCACCATCTTTTCCACCACTAGGATCCTTTTCCTGAGAGCCATTGTCTGGCTTTTCTTCCTTTGGCTGCTTCTTCCCTCTGGCTGTTTTGCTTCTCCTCCTGTTCTTTTTCTTTTTGCCTTGATCAGGCACTCCATCACCATCATCTTCTTCATCCTCCTCCCCCTCCTCATCCCCACCTTGAATGAGGGTGCCATCTGCTGGCATGTGCTCACATCTTGGTTTCCCATCTTTGCCTAACCTTGTCCCCACACTCTTCGACCTCTCCCTGCCATTGCCATCACTGGCGCTGGAAGCCTTGCTCTTTCTTGTGCCCCCCTCGGCAGAGGAAGCCTCTTGGGCCCTCCTCTCTGCATCTTCCCTAGCAACAATGGCTAGCCGGTCTGCTTGTTGCTTTTCCCATTCATCCAACTTTGCTGGATCTTTTTCTTGGGCCATTTCCCTGGCTTTGCGATGCAATTCATACATTTGCCTCTTGAGAGCCTTATTCAGACTGTGGACCCTGGGCTTTAACTCCTCAGGGACTTCTTCACCTTTCCTTTCCAACTCTCTTCTTTGAGCTCTTCTTTTGGCAGAAGCCCTGCCATGAAACATCAGGGGCTCCTTTTGGTAAATTGACATTCACCAAAAAATACGGTTTGGATTCAGAGCCATCCCTGGCTCGGATGTAGCCCTTCTCCTTGAAGTTGCCCTTTTTGACCTAGCCAAAGCTGCAGCTTGCTACCCATGTGTTGTGGGTTGCCATGTGCACATGCTTTGCAGGCTTGGTAACTTTTGCAGTCTTGGGAGCCATTGCTGGCTTTTTTTGGGGGGTCATGCAGCTGGCAGGCCTTTTGTAGCTGCAATTCTTCCCATTTTTGGGTTTCAGCTTTTGAGGGGTCACTATACCAGATGAACCTGGAAGAAACTTCCTGTGTGCTGACCACAAAAGCTTCCTTTTCTTCACTGCCTGAGCTTTCGCTCTCCACCTTGGACTTTGTGCTGCTTGAGGCATTAAAATGTTTGATTTGGTGGCTGGAGCCTTTCCAGGCTGGGAGTCTTGCTTTTGAATTGTTGCCTTGTCATTTTCAGGCTGGGGGTCTTGCTTTTGAATTGCAGCCATTGCTGGCTCAGGGGCCATAAGAGAATCAGATGGCATGTGTGTTTTCCTTTTTAGCCTTCTTTCAGGCTGAGGCTGGGGTTCACTGGCGATGGGTGCCAAGCCCATGGCTTTCATCACTTGGAGGACTGCAGTGCTTGTCTTCTCTCCATTTTTCATATTTTTAGCTTTTTTGGTCAGCCATCTCTTGTATTGCACCAAGTGCTGAACGATCTCACCTCTGTCCAAATTTGACATTTTAGGGCAAGCAATTTGGAAAGAGAGCCTTGCTTCAGGCTTAGTGGGCTTTTCAGCAAACCAGACAGACAAAAAGGTTGCTTGCTTTGAAATAGCCATGTCTGGCTCAAGGGGAAAATCTGCCAAGCTACAATCCGGCACAAAGCCAGAGATGAGGCCAACCAATTTTTGTCATTCTTCCATCGCCTTTGGTCTGCTCCACTGGCAAAAGACGAGCCATTTCCAAAAAGATCTATGCTCTTGAGCTTGGGCTAGGTTGATGACATGGTTAGTAAATATATATCTATATATATATATATATATTCTTTTTAGTTTGTTAATGAGCTACCATTTCCAGAAGCTAAAAAACAAGCTTCTAGAAGCCAAAAACCAAATTTCTAGAAGCCAAAAAAACAAGCTTCTAGAAGCCAAAAAAACAAGCTTCTAGAAGCCATAGTTTTGGCTTCTGGAGTGCTAACATTAAAAAATACTGGAAGCTTGTTTTTTTTGTCAGAAGCTAAAAAAAGTAGCTGGCAGACAGTTTTCAGAAGCTAAAAAAACAAGCTGCCAGACAAAAAAACCAGCTGGCAGTCAAAAAAAATGGGCTTCCAAAACTGGCTTCCAGGAGGGTGGGAGCCAAAAAAACTAGCTGGCAGATAGAAAACAAAGCTTCTCGGAAGCTAAGGGAAGGTACGACTGGACCCTCCTGGCACCCACCCCAGTCCCACCTTCTCAGAGGGTACGACTGGATACACAGATCTATATAGATCTTTCTCTACATTGCTAAAAAATCCATTTGATACCTTCCTCGATTGGAAAGCCGCTTCGCAATAATCTCCAGAGAAGGTGTCACTAATTTTTAGGTATGCATGGATGATCATTGATGCAAAACAGATCCATGCATTCCTCTTGCAGTCGAGAAGCCGATGCGTCTTGGTATGCGTCCGACTCTGCAAATTCACCAGTCCACCTAGATCAAACAAAACACTGGCAATCTCCACCTAGATCCACCTATAGATACAATACAGGTCCACCTAGATCCACCTGCATATCTCCTACATTTGGGGGCGTGTATTGATGGTTTTCCACATCCCAACCAAGACCAACCCAATTCAGTCGCGATCGATGTGGAGCCCTGAAATCAATGCAGGACATTTGGCGGGACAAGACGAAGCATGTGATGCACGAGGAGATCGGGGGGACCAGACGACTGATTGCGAACAAGAACACATCCCTAGGGATCCAGTCGTACCGAACCTCAGGTTCGGTACGACTGGACCCTCCTGGCACCTACATAACAGTGCCTCCTTCCTCACCGTACCTGAGGTTCGGTAATTACTTGGATCCCTAGGGCATGAAAAGGGAGTCGAAAGTGGAAGAGTCGAGAGTGGAAGACATATCTAGCCCTATGGATCCACGGATCCACCGTACCGACCTGGTTCGGTTAGGAACGGCCCGAGACAAGCCTGGCGACATCAAGAGTCTCCGTTCGCCCTCACCGTATTGACCTGGTTCAGTATGTCTATAGGGTACCACAAAGGTGCATCCTGGCCCTGAAATGAACTGATATATCATTTCATTGTTCCATCAACTGATATATCGATCATTTCATTGTTCCATCGACACAGGGGAGCGAAGGGCAGTCCATCCAGGTCTTTGGGCACTTGTTGGTCAGAGTCCAAGCCGCAGTCCAAGCAGCACAGGGATTTCAGATTCAAGGACCTTGGTCTCCTTCACACCAAAGTTGCTGCAGGCCAATGGGTATAATCATAGCACACATTGTTGGAAGAAGTCCTCATTGGACCATTGTGATAGATATACCTTGGTCGACTTATGTAACTGGAAGGTCAATCTGCTACCTGGTGGACTGGTCGGGCTCCAGGTTTCGATCCATCTCCAAAGGCCCAAATAAAAGACACAGACAAGAACTGCTAGTAGCTTCTTGCTACTAGTAGTCATGGCCTCCAACCTACTAGCGATGGCCTCCAACCTAATAGCGATGGCCTCCAACCTAGTAGCTTCTTGCTACTTAGGAGCCTTCTATTGTTGTCTTGGTCTTGCCAAAGTCTTTCTTTCCAAAGCCATGCACCCGCCTCACCGGCCCAAATAGCGCTAGCTTTTGGACCTGATTTACTGGCCTTCGTCGATCTCACAAATCTCTCGTTGTCTCAGCATGTTTGATCTTTCCATGATCCGTTCATTGAGACGGATCAAGTCTGTCTGTTTTTCGGTGAGTTTTGATCCCTGGCTTGCCGGGACTTCGAGGGATATGTTCGACGGTAGAGAGGGCTAAAAGCCTGCGCGATGCTGTCTTCATGTCGTTCGGATCGAAAGAAGTGATTGAAAGCTGAGCCAATCCCAGAGGTGACCAATTCCTACATCTAGTAGCTTTTGGTGAATGAATGTGGGCCATATTGGCTGCAGAAGCCTCATAACGATGGCCTCCAACCTACTAGCGTCTTGTTACTAGTAGTAATGGCCTCCAACCTCCTAGCGATGGCGTCCAACCTACTAGCTGATTCTTGTTACTAGTAGCAATGGCCTCCAACCTACTAGCGATGGCCTCCAACCTGGTCCAACCTACTAGCTTCTTGTTACTAGTAGTAATGGCCTCCAACCTACTAGCTTCTTGTTACTAGTAGTAATGGCCTCCAACCTAACAGCGATGGCCTCCAACCTAGTAGCTTCTTGTTAGTCGTAGTAATTGCCTCCGACCTAATAACGATGGCCTCCAACCTACTAGCTTCTTGTTACTAGTAGAAATGGCCTCCAACCTAGTAGGAATGGCCTCGAACCTACTAGCTTCTTGTTACTGGTAGTAATGGCCTCCAACCTAATAATGATGGCCTTCAACCTACTAGCTTATTGTTACTAGTAGTAATGGCCTCAAACCTAATAACGATGGCCTCCAACCTACTAGCTTCTTGTTACTAGTAGTAATGGCCTCCAACCTAATAACGATGGCCTCCAACTTAATTACTAGCTTCTTGTTACTAGTAGCAATGGCCTCCAACCTACTAGCGATGGCCTCCACTCTACTAGCTTCTTGTTACTAGTAGTAATGGCCTCCGACAAGTATCACAGACGAGCAGAGGAAACGTTGAGATAATAAACGTGCGCAGACTGCGCAGCAGAAACGGGAAGGAAAAGGGAAAGGAAAAGGGAAAGAGCAGAACCAAGGTTGCAGACAAATTCCGGAAGATATTGAACACGGCGGTGTTGGCTTCTTGTTATCCCCCGTGGCAATAACAGCTTTGCGAGACTTTGAACAAATTGACGGTAGACTCATGACGCTGACACTTGATGCTCATGGTCCTGATATACACATTATCAACGCATATGCCCCCCAAAGTGGCTGTGACGCAACTATGAAAGAAGTATTTTACAATAAGCTCCGCATCTGCTTAGAAAATTTCCCTTCTTCACACCCCACCTTCATTATTGGCGATTTCAATGCACGTCTACATGCCAGGCTTCCAGATGAACATAGGTTTATTGGTCCACATGTCTTTGGCCGTGGGCTGACTTACCTGCAGCAGATGAACGATGCAACATTCGAAAATCGCTCGATGTTTGTTGCATTTTGTATTGACAATGACCTTTGGGTAGCCAACTCATTCTTCCAGAAGCCGCCTAGCAGCCAAATCACCTTTAGAGAGGCAGGGGTTGACCATGCTCCGCCATGGACTCCCGAAAAATTTGCGCAGCTTGATTTCATCATCGCCCCGCAACGCTGGAAAAATTGCGTCAAAGACGCTGCTTCCCAGAGCACGTTTTGTTTTGATTCCGATCACTATTTGGTAGTTGCCCGAATTGAGGTGAAACTCAAAATTCCCGAAGCTAGAAAGCGGCCAGTGCTTAAGTTTAGACAGCCAGACGGCGTTCAGTTGCAAATATATAATCGGCATGTTACGCAAAATTCTCTTAATCACAATGGTCTAACTATGAAGAACTTCATTTCCATAATTGCTCAAGCATCCCGCAGTGCTTTTAATCCTGTTCCAGCTATGCAGCGTAGATGCTATATTTCACAACATACTTGGGCTTTGATTGAACAGAGACAAGCAGCTCACACGGAGTGCAACTCTCAGACCGTGAAAGACCTGACTCGTCGAATCAAGTGCGAAGCCCGAAAAGACAAACGAAAATTCCTTCTTGAAAGTCTCAAGGAATCGGTTGACTCACGCAGCCAATGGAAGGCGATCAAAAATTTGAAAAAGAAATCGACCCCAAATTTCACGAAGCTGAAAGATAAGGATGGGAATAGAGTAGGACCGCGCAGGAGAGCGGAAGCAATAGCAGAATATTTGTCTGATGTGCAGTGGAAAGAGCCAGTGCTACCGCCGCCGCAGCCATTTCGCCGTGCCGTGATCGCAGATCCAGTACCATGCCCTACAGACAATATTCAACTGCATGAATTAAATACTGTAATCAAAAAGGCCAAAGCGCACAAAGCGCCTGGCCCAGACGAAACGGGAGCTGAACTGTTTAAGCTTCTGGATCAGACCAACCGAGACCTGTTGCTTGGGTTGCTAAACCATTGGTGGAGAACCGAGCAGATTCACGAGGAGCATTTAATGGCGCAAGTAGTGACCATATTCAAAAAAGGTAGTACCGAACAGATATCAAATTACAGGCCTATTAGTTTGTTGAACACCGTGTACAAGCTTTTTGCTGCTATTGTTCGAAAGAGGCTAGCAGACCATATTGACCCTTTCATTTCCGAATCACAGTTTGGCTTTCGACGTGATAGAAGTACTACTCAGGCCTTGTTTGTTGCGCGTCGATTACAAGACATTGGAGAGCAGACGGGCGATAGAGTTGTCATGCTTTTCCTGGATTGGGAGAAGGCGTTTGATAAGTTATGCCATTCACGTATGTTTGAAGCACTGATGAGACTGAACATCCCCGAAAAACTGCGAAATGTGATTGCTGCACTTTACAAAAAGCCTACTTTCTGCGTAAAGTATGATCAGCACACGTCCAACATCAAAGACCAGCAAGCAGGAATTAGACAAGGATGCCCGTTATCCCCTTATCTTTTTATTTTAGTGATGTCAGTTCTGTTCTCCGATATTCATTATGCAATCGACCGAGATATCATTCTGAGCCGTTTAGACCGTATAAACTTTTCGGAAATCTTGTACGCGGACGACACGTTGCTAGTCTCCAAAGACACATCAGGTATGAACAGACTTTTGCACGCAATTGAACTTGAGTCTTCTTATTATGGCTTAAAACTCAACCAGGATAAATGTGCTGTGTTATCACTGAACGGCAACAGCCATGTTCGCTTCAGAGATGGATCCTTAGTGCCGCACGTAGATGAAGTTACCTACCTTGGTGGAACTTTGACCTCACAAGTCTCAGTTGCTCGTGAGATTTCCAGCAGAATTTCATCCACAATGGCTACTTGGAAAAGTATGGATATCTTTTGGAGACATGCTCAATGCTCCGTTAGAAATAGGCTGCAAGTTTTCAATTCTGTTATCAAAAGTAAACTACTTTATGGGCTAGAGACTTTGGAAATCCCAAGTGCGCAGATGTCGCGCCTGGAAGCGTTTCATTTGAAAGGTTTGAGAAAAATTTTGGGTATGCAAACAACTTTTGTCAATAGAGCCAACACGAACCAAGAAGTTTTTAGAAGAGCCAACATTGCAATTCAAACTCGCCAAAACCCGACTTGTACAATTCAAAAGATCAGCGAGCTGCTGGGTCAAAGAAGGATCGCTTTAGTTGGACACATTCTAAGACAACCGCGTACAAATCCTCTGAGAAATGTATGTTTTCGGTAAGATACGGCGGCTCCTTTTGAAGTGCTGTACCGTCGACCAGGTCGACCCCGAAGGCGATGGATAGACTCCACCTTGAACATTGTCTGGGAAAAAATACGTCCAAATGGTGAAGGATTCAACCAATCGCCTGAACAACTGGCACATATACAGAATGCGGCAAGAAACTACCAATTGTAAAAAAGCAGGATCACACAAACGAAAGATTTGACTCACCAGGTTTTTACCTGGACTTCGATACCAAATTGATATTAATGAAATGCTACAGCTTTGACCGAGACGCAGTGGTAATGTGAGCGCGCCGCGGTTGGCGTAGGGGTGCCTACGGGCGTGTAAATACTTTTTTGTGTACAGTACTTAGTATAATGTGACCCACATGCCTTTGGCAAACGAAAGAAAGAATGGCCTCCGACCTAATAACGATGGCCTCCAACCTACTAGTTTCCTGTTACTAGTCGTAATGGCCTCCAACCTACTAGCGATGGCCTCCAACCTACTAGCTTCTTGTTACTGGTAGTAATGGCCTCCAACCTACTAGCGATGGCCTCCAACCTACTAGCTTCTTGTTGCTAGTAGTAATGGCCTCCAACCTACCAGCGATGGCCTCCAACCTACTAGCTTCTTGTTACTAGTAGAACGGTGCCTTGTGACTCTGTTCATCATCTGCCCTTTGAGACCTGCCCTTTGCGTGCAGCGCGTGTTCGTGCCGGGCTCGCGTAGTTTGCGCGGTGGCACAGGAGCTCAGTGGTCGTCCACAGATGCCGTTGGACCTTTTCATCAACGAGAAGTTCCTGCCGCTCGGCACCCCCGGGGCACTCCTGACACTTGTCTGGGACTTGCACGACCTGATAGCTGATCAGGCCAGGGGTAGTTCAGAAGCCCTAGGGCCCTAGGGATCCAGTCGTACCTTCTCAGAAGGTGATTGGAGGCACTGTTATGTAGGTTTGGAGGGTCCAAGTACCTTCTGAGAAGGTACTTGGATCCCTAGGGAAGTTCATTAATGTAGGCATAGATGCATGGAGTCTTTGAGAGATGTGTTCATGTCTCGCGTGGCCAAGAGACGTTTAAGACATGGGACCGGTGAACGATGTTTCTGTAACAAAATTGTGAAAAACGTGTTTTTTCAACTGGTGCAGGCCATAAGGCCGAGTTGGAGCCAAAGCAAGTCTTTCGTACCATTATTTTGAACAACTATGCATCTTCAAGTCCAGGGGGCTTCACCAGCGCGGCTCGTACGTCCTGATGGAATGAGTGGATGAGACCCCCCCTTATCAGGCTCTTCATGGGTTCGCTGAGACGACTTTCGCTGAGACGACAGTTGCGGGCGCGAACCACGAAGGTGAACCCTGCAGAATCCTTGTTCTTCCATGGGCGGGAGTGGTTTGAATAGTTGCATAGCTGCACGTGTTTTTTACATGTCCTCTCCATTTTCATCCATGATCACTCACATCCAGCCCAGATATGTCTGGTGACCATTTTTTGCCACCTAATCTGATACACCGGATTCTTTAAAACCATTCGTTTAACGTTGTCTCCCATGGTACGGAGGCAGAGACTCTTCGCGAGGGGCCAGTAGGGCGCCAGAGTGGACTTGGCCGAACGTCAGTCGTTTGCTGTTGTAAGCTGAATCGAAGTGGGACTGAGATCCCCAGATGTCTTCAGCCACTTATATATACCTGGAGCCTTTTTGTGACCCCTGGAGCTTGGAGGATCAACTCTCCAAAATAGGGTCTTTTCCCAACAAAAACAGAGGTCAGGCTTTCGGCTCTAGGTATATAATCCTCTTTAGATCTCTGAACGGATTCACAGGAATAGCGCCCCTGAAGAATTCGGTCACTCTCTGAAGCCAGGCGCACCATGTATCCCCCAAATCGGTCCTATCTCCGCCATCCATGTCGCTCCTCGGTTGCGAGTGTGAGTACCCCGGAGCACCGCGTCCGGTCGGGTGGTGTAGAGAACAAACGAGGTCGTTGGTTGATCCAAGCATGCTGAGCATGGTGAGCATGGTCTAAAGCGATCCTTTACATGTGTAAGTAAGGCCTGCTCATAAGAGCAGTGTGCGTAAGCAAGGCGATATAATATAAGTGGGTTTGTAGAACGATATCATATGAGTGGCGTGTTTGGTGTGATGGTGGTTTATGATTTGAATTTGAAAGGAGGGCCTTGATGAGCTGTTGATGAGACCACTTTGGAGGTGCGTTGAGTGAGCCAAAGCCTTTTCTGGAAAGAGAAGCGTTCAAGTCTTGGGTTTTTGGAAGTAGCTGGCGGCAACACGAACAACATGACAGATACTGACAGATATATAAGTTGACAGATATTAATATGTCATGTTTCATGAATAGACGCTGTTCCTTCACCGTTTCCAGCTTTTCCACTCTTGGACTTGTGTTTCACACACACACACATAGGTATACCTATAGGCCTATAGGTATACCTAGGTGCTTTTTACTTGACTCCCAAATCAATGGGTAGACTGGCCCAGGTCCCGAGGTAGAGAGGGGCTCCGAGGCCACCAGGTCTGGTCGTGGTTTCCGCAGGCCCACACGTGCCAATGGGAGACCACAACAGCTGGGACGCCCCAGTTTTCGAATGGGTGAGGTCACTGTCAACGGCGACTGTCGACCGGGAGCATAGGCCTGGAACACCGATTGGTACCCAACTGGGATAGTCGAAGGACGTAGGCCACGTAGGGTTCTTCAAGTTCAGTTGCTGGGCGCAGCACTGTAGCTGCAGCTCTGGACCACTGGAGTTGAGTATAGTATACCCTAAGGATCCAAGTACCCTCTGAGAAGGTGTTTGGGGTGGGTGCCAGGAGGGTCCAGTCGTACCTTTTGAGGAGGTACGACTGGATCCCTAGGGATAGGTATGAGTATAGGCTGAGCTTGGTCCAGTGAGCCATGCTCAGATGGGCCATCTCACATCCTGGGCAGTCATGGGCCGTAACCCGAACTCGGAAGCGACGTTCGCCAGGAGTTCTGAACATCCCCCCAGCAGCGGCCAGGCTTTTTTCAGGGGAAGCTTATCCAATCTCTTGAGGGATCCAATCTCTTGGAGTGATCCAATCAGGATTCAGTGCTTCAGCTCAGCTGATTCACCCAGGACGGGGTCCCAGCGGATCCTCGGAGATCTTCGCTCATCCGGATCGACGGAGACGTTAGGCCCCGCCATTTGGGGCCGAACCGAACGGAGACGCGGCCGAATGGAGCCGTGCTACACATCGCCGGTTCTCGTGTTTTGGGGTATACCGTGTCTTTTTGCCGAGTCGTTGGCACCCTTGTTTTGCGTAGGCAAGGTGATGCGTTCCGTGTTGGAAGGCCGGAGTATTACAGCTACTGCATGTTCAAGCACCAAAGTGGCAAAAAACAGCATGTGCAAAGTGTCTAAACTCCTCCTCACCATGTCAGCCCTGAGAACCCTGGCACGGACAGGACCGCCTTCCGCCTTCCGCCTTCGGGACTGGAAGTGCTATCGACATGGGGAAAACACCTGCGGGTCAAAGTTTGCGCTTTTCCATAGATGCAGTGTTTGAGTAAGAATTCTTTGTAGGGCTCCGACTACCTCCTGAGGTCTTGGTGGTTTAAACCCGTGGGTGCCAGGGAAATCCGTCCCTGTTTTCTTTTCGAATGTGGGACAGGAGCCCCCCCAAAGGGTCTAGGGTCTTTCGGAGGATGTGTTTGGGGGGCAATGACCTCGTGGGAATAGGGCATCTTGATGCATCGTCGGACCTTCTCTTGTAATGAACAACTCTTACTGTAGATGTTGGGCCTCCAGGATATCCAGGATGTCCTTAAAACTTAAAACAAGCAAAAAAACACACCTTAAAACAAGCTGAAGGTGGATGAATCTCTTCTCCTCTCCTTCACATCTCCAGGCTTCGAGGTAGTACTAAACTGATCGTCGAGGTGACTGATCAGACACGACCTGTTTGGGACTGGCATATCTGCCTACATTAACCCCTGGTCGACCACCCCAATTTAATGTTTGTAATTGTTTGTATAATTATTGCAAACATATTCCGTATACAGGTTAGGTTAGGTTAGCTTTTTGCTTTTATGAGGATGGAACTGATCTACAACTTCCTCCTGCCACTGCCGTGACCCCAGGGAAACAGCATCGGGCAGTAGAGTTTGTGTGACGGCACCAACTTCCTCTCCCAAGAGCCTCTAAATGGAGCTGTGACCACTGGAGTCAGTGAAGAAGGATCGAATCAGGGGAAGACGATGGAGTTGGTGAGTTCCAGAAAAGCCCATCGAACGACGTCGTCAGGTCGTAGGTCCTCAGGAGTCCTCAGGTCCTCAGGTCGCCAAATGCCGAAGTCCCAGGTTTGGTGAGTAGTCGAAGGGTCGACATCCAAGAAAGGGCTGGTAACGTTCCCTGGGGATCCAGTCGTACCGAACCTCAGGTACGGTGAGGAAGGAGACGGTAATTGGAGACTATTTATGTAGGCGCCAGGATCGGGCCCAGTCGTACCGAACCTGAGAAGGTGGCAGTGGATCCCTAGGGGTTATAAGATTCTTCCCCACCTGCCAGGTGAGGGTTCTTCGATTTTATCCAATGCGGTGGGGAGTCCGGTGGTGGTGGGCCCACATCCGGCTGTTGATCGTGCTATTGTGCTGGATAGCGACCAACTTGTTGGGTGCTTTCCGGAGGATGCAAACATAGTGCAGACCTGCACGGGACTTCTGCAAGATCGAACGGGTGAGTGCTAAAGACAATGTGGTGCCATGCAGAAAGAAAGATTCCCACTCTTCACGGTGTTTCTTCTCAAACTGAGCATGCTTCATGTTTCGATCACATTCGTCGCTTTCCCACCATTCATGTTTCGATCCCAAAACTGCATGTCAAACGTAAAACTATGGACATTTGAGCGCTGCTCCGCGCAGATAGTACAGAGATGTACAGAGCAAAAACTTGGGCCTTTTTGGCCGGTGGATCAAACAGCAACGGGACCACAGGATGGCCTCGTCTTGTTGGCGCCCGAACGTGATGTGCGGACCACGGAGTGTGGTCCGGTATGGCCGTCACATGGCCACCCACGTGGCATTGGGGTCGAACAAATCCAGAGCTGAACTCCTGGTATGACTGTAGAGGTAGTAGAGCTGCCACATGCTTTGGCTCTCTGAGGGAAGAGCTTATATTGTTATTTTTTGGGATTCTGAGTTCCACAACAGCGGAATTCTGGTGGTGTTAGAGTTGTGGCACAGAAAAAAGCGGTCTTGGTTTTGCTTTCGGGATCAGCAACCCTGCAAAACGCATGGTCTTCAGTCTTTGTGCCTAGGAAAGCTTTGGAGACAACCGGATGAATATGGATGAATAAAAAACCTCCGACGGAGGGATGAAACACGCCAGGAGGCAGTCGACCACGTTGAAGGACAACAACCCCGAGACGAGCCCAGGCACCGTGCGGTCACAGTGTTTGTGTGTGTTTGTGCGCGAACTGACCTTCGGTCACACCAGCTTCTTCGGTACTTGACAGACCTCAGATCAAGTTTGTTCACTTGGAAGAACCAGGCAGGAATGAATCAGATCAGCACAGCAATGCAGTTTGCTTCAGGGTTTCACGGTTCGTCTAAGACTTGTTTGATCAATTTGTGAGAGCAAGGGAACGATTCATTACTAAAGGTGGTCGACTTCAGTGACTTCAGCTTGTAAAGAACTCGAGTAACTTGAGGCCTTGGATTAGGAAACTGGTCCTGAATCACCCCAAAAACTAAGAAGTCTGTGGCCTGGGGTTGTGTTTGATGAAAACAAGTCTGGAAACCCGACGGCCATACGGCCACTTCTCCATTCGATAGTACGTAGCTGATGCTCCTGGTTCGTTTGGGACCGAAAAATGTCCTTCAGTTCGCGACCCGCGACCCGCGACCCACGACCGACCCCGGATATGGGAGGTACGCGGAGAACGGAGAACGGAGAGGTCTCCAATGCGTCGGGTTCATAGATCCTCCCTAGGAATCCAGTCGTACCGAACCTCAGGTTCGGTACGACTCGACCCTCCAAACCTACATAACAGTGTCTCCAATCACCGTACCTGAGAAGGTACGACTGGATCCATAGATCCTCTTCAGAAGCGTGAAAGCTCGGCGGTGGGATGCGGTCAGCTCCAGATGCTCCGTGTTTGCCCTACAACCTCCTGGTCCCGAACCAAACCTATAGGGATTGGTGAGAAGGTCCGGACACCGACTGAACCGAGTCTGGGTATAGGCGAAATCATGTGAAATTGTTCCATCGCTTCTAATCTTTTGGAACTTGCTCCTGCTCACGCTGCGTGCGCTGCGTACGCCTGCTCCGCCTGTGCGCGGCACTCCGCTTGCGCCTGCTTCACACGATGAGCACGTGAGGAGGGAGCTAGTCTGCAGACTGGATTATGAGTGGACGGGTTTTGACTGGCCCATCAGTATCCAGTCGATCGTTGCTTGGCACGCGCAGGCGAGCGGCTCCTTTCGGCCACCAGCCCGGCTTCGATGCAGAAGCCGCTTGGATCGCACACTGGTCAAGAGCTGGAGAGAACCGGGCGCCCAGCCCACGTTTCAGGATCCGCGCCAGCTTGTCCATGTTTTGCTTCCAGCAAGAACAATCCAAATGTATAAAAGATGTGGGACATGCAAAAGGCAAGCCATGACAAAACCAGTGCCCATGCAAAGGATGCATAGCACTTAACAAAAGCTAGCACCAGTGCCCTCCACAACATCCTTTACACGACCTGAAGTTAAAAGCATCTTAAAGTTAGTCTTGGTTGGGACAAAGGGATGTTGAATCAGTACAAAGTCCTCTAACCAAGAAGAAAACTGTTAGTCTTTAATCAGATGGTTAGTCTTTAATCCTGCTGGTAGTATCGTAGAGATGTACATCAATTTAGACTCGTCGTTCGACTTTTGCCGCATGGTGTTCTCTCCAGGCGCCACAGCCGGGCGGGCACCCGACGACGACGGAGCTCAGCCCGGGCCACCCGGAAAGCTCTCGGGAGCGAAGACCTGGATGAAGGTGCTGGAATAAGACCCCTGGACCTCCAGTCGTACCTCCAAGTACTTGAGGCTTCAGAAACGTCTGGGATTTGTCCAAATGCACTCCCTAGACCTCCAGTCGTACCTCCTCAGAGTGTATTTGGACCCCCCTGGCACCCACCCACCCCAGTCCCACGGTACGACTGGAGGCCTAGGGGACATATGAAGGTGCTGGGGGGGGGTATCAATTTGACTTGTGAAGGTGCTCGGGTGTGACCTGGGCATTTTGATTCATTTGACCTCCTGACTGGTGTGTGGTGGGTGATGACGATGATTGAAATGAAGTGGAACTGGAAGTTCTGGGGAGTGCATCGTTCCAGTCACTTCATGTTGATATACCTGGAAGAAGATTCCAATCGTGCCCCATACCGCCCATATACCCTGGAAGAGTTTTGATGCTCCTGATGCTTTGGTCGGTTCCAAAGTGGTAGCAGGGCATCATTCATGCATGTATATTCCCCTGATTCTCCGCTCAGGCGGGCAGAAGGCCTTCGGAAATGATCGAGCAGATTGAGGCACGGCGAAGGACGCACCGCGTCATCCCTTTCCGCGGAAAAGGGTATCATCCGAACGTCAGATGTACGTAGACCAAAAGACTTCAATGTTCTAGTTCTGTCGAAATGAACAAAACAGGGCCAACCAAAAGTTGATGTTCCCTCTTGCGAATTCCCAAAACGCGGCCGAAAGAACCATCGTTTTTGAGGTTATCTTCTGGGCCAGGTTTGCCCCTCCTGTGGCAACATCTATGCGCCGGATGCGATCTTCTGCCGCATTTGCAGGACACACCGACCCTCCCGCGGCCGTTCGGAGCTCGGACGCCCGGACGATCGGAGTTCGGAGCACCACCCAGGTTGGCCACCCCTTGGCCACCCCGTGGGTTGTGAGGTTTAGCCTCCCAAAAAGAGGGGTGTCCCAGAATGGTCCAGAAAAGCACGGTCTTGGTGGTGGCGAAACCAACCTGTTGCGAAACCGGCGAAGGCGAAGTGCGAAGTGCGGCACGCCGTCGCGTCTCCTCTCCTCAGTGTCTCGACCGGTCGGACTGCAACGCGACGGCGAAGAGGACGAAGAGGCCGAATGCTGCGGAGGAGACGAATGAGGTCGAGCTGCAGGTGCGGCCGAAGGGACGACCGGTTATACCACGGCGCGGTTCGCAGAAAAAGAAGGAGCCGGAGCCGGAGCAGGGAGCGGAGGGTGCCAGGGTGGAGGAAAGGGGCCTGAAACATGAGAGTCGGCCAAGAACAGCCTTTCAGGCTTCGGTCGATCATTTTGTTGCCTGTTCAATTGCAGTCGTGACAAGTCCGGGAAGTGGTTAGGGCATAAACAAAGGGGTTTCAGAGGTTAACCCAAGGTCGGTGGTTTAGGTTTGGATCATCATTTGTGTCAGACATGTTGGGGTGCTTGGCGTGCCATCGAACCTCTGAAACCACAGCTCCTAAGCCTCTAAAGTCAGGTCACTGATAAGGGACACTTGGTAAGAAGCTGCTAAGGAATTCGATGGCACGCCAAGCACCCCGGTCAATGCTTGACATAGATGGGGATCCAGACCAAAACCACCGACCTTGGGAAGCTGGTGCCATCGAACCTCTGAAATCACTCTATAGCTGTTTATTAGTCCATAGGGAGAAGATTTGCTCGACGCGTTTCTCACAGACCCTGTGGGGATGGGACCAAAACAAAGGGTACCCAAGTCAGGTGAGCTTCCAGCTATCAGAAGCTTCCCTAGCTTCCTCCTCCGGTATTTATCGGTGCCGTAGAGGGAATGTCTCAAGTCAATATGATTATCATGATCATGCAACTGTCAATCTTGGCGTGGGACTGGAGGAGGCTAGCTAGACTTAGACTTCTGCATGTAATTGCCGCCAGAAAATGCCAGAAACCCTCAAACAGACAGCGTCCAAACCGTCGCTTCGTTTGCACCATCAGCAGATATGACTGTATTTTGCACATACATGAACGTGTGGATGGTCCAAGCATCGTCCTCTTCTAGGATGGGAGACTTTGGTCATCTTGCATTCGTGTGAGTGGATAATGCATGACAATGCATTATTGATATTTGGTCTCCCAAACTGGCTAGTTTGGTCGTGCAGAAGACCAACATTTCCACCAGTACCGTATGTCGATCACATAGCTTTCACGTGCCCTGGGAGCAGCACACGGTTTCATAACCACAAGATGTCAACCTGCCAGGAGTTCCAAAGGTAATGCACATGGATGATGAACACCTGCAATATCCTCCAATAAGCATCCCTTGTGGCACTGATTCGTTGACGTATATTGTAATTGCATGGTCTTGAACAGCTAGCTAGATTAAACAAAAAACGTTAAAGCTGATCAAGGAGCGTCCTTTGAGTTGAGTTACTGACACTTGCATAGAAAAAGGGGGCAGCAGCTTTACCGGCAAGATGTCATCGGGCAAGTGGATTGGCAAACAAAAAATATACCTACTTTATCGTACAATATCCAGCTTCTTCAAAGTGACCTTTTGAAGGTTCCTAAGTGACCCTTAACCTCAAACCAGGTTATCAAAAGGTCAACTTGAAGAACCAGAATGTCCGGTTTCCCTATACAAATTACTGTGCCAAAGCTTTAGGCATGTCGATCCGGCATTTTGGTCCATACACTAATCACATGGTTTCATGAGTGGCATAGTCCTGATTTGGGATGACCATGAAATCCTCGTCCCTGTTTGCCGGGCGGTGAACTCTACTTCCATGTTCTGATGTTGTTGTTCATCCCTGTACAGCACAGGTATTCTTCCAGTCATTTTCAGCCTTTCTGAGGGAAAACTGCGATCCACACCCCCACGTTTTTCCAATCACGGACGTGATCGCTTCAACATTCTATGCCTGGTTGCAAGAAATCCAAATTACAGTACCTCAAAACGCCAACTTCCAATCCTTACATCCCAAATGACCAAACACTCTCCCCAAATTGCAATCCACTGCTGTCCTGCAACATGTGGCACGATGAAAGGCGGTTCTCCGCTAGCATCAGCAGAATGCATTGCATGGTTTCCGTGTTTTCATTCCCGGATGTCACTCAGACCGCAGGTCTGCTCCTGCTTGGGACCCCAAGACATGCAACGGTGGGAAGGACGGATCCAATGCCTAGGGTATCCCAGGAGTCACAAAGGCGGGGTGCTCTCAGCTTGGAGGAAGGAGTTGGGTGCCAAGCGCTACGCCACTCATTGGATCGGACGAACCAAACCCACCCCGTCGACTTTTGGGATACCATTCTTCCCCAACTTCCCGAACGCAAACATGAGCTGGAAAAGGCCAGAAAACGTTCAGGTGCTCTAAAATTAGAGCCAACATGTTTTTCAGTGTCAGGACGTGGCAGCGTGTGGCAGAGCCAATATCAAAACGAAAGTGTGGCAGAGCCAATTGCAATACTCTTGGAATCTTCATTCCCTATAGGGATCCACTGCCACCTTCTCAGGTTCGGTACGACTGGGCCCTCCAAGCCTACATAAATAGTCTCCAATCACCGTACCTGAGGTTCGGTACGACTGGATCCCTATAGGGATAGTATTGAATTGTATTTAATTGTTAGCCCTACGGATCCACATACCTCTCTGAGGTTCGGTACGACTGGATCCCTAAGGATTGATGTTCCCGTCCGAATCCTCGCGGCGACGAACAACGGGGTCACGTCGGGCCTCAAAAGAACCACCGCTCTCGGCGGCCGGGAAGTTCGATCTCGCCAAACCGCAGGATCGGTGGCAGGGATATGCCGGGTTTGTTGACTTCGTTGTGCGGATCAGGTGATTTTGTAATTTGCCCTATATGGTTAAATCCCCTAAGGTGGGGAAGATGTTACATTTTTGTGGATTTGGTTCCTTAAAAAGCAAAGCCACGTCATTTATGAAAGAATACTTTTTGACTAAATGCAGTTTGGGGAATAGCGGAACGCCTGGTAGGCCTGGCTGGTATTTCCAGATTCGCGTGTTTTCGTAGATAGGATTACCTTTAAAAGCAAACAAGAACACTGATATGGAAGCCTTTTGAGAGTTGCCTGTGACTACTGCTGGGTGGCCAGCCTCAATGCAGGAAACATTAGCTGCACCTTTGTTCCCCGAAAGCGGGCGAATTCCTACAGGTCAGGAAGATCTCCTACAGGTCAGAATATCTCCTACAGGTCAGGAATATCTCCTACAGGTCAGGAACTGACCGACCCTGAAATACTGGAGTTGGTCATACAAAAACACGCACTATACTGGAGGTAAAAGGCCAGGTTCTACTGGGTCTTTGGACTTGTAGACTTGTAGGTGATGTTTCTTTATTGGTTCCGGAACTGGGCACTTAGTCCCTCTGAACATACCACTCTGCAGCTGGACGACTTGGCGCACTTTGTATCCACCACTGGAGCTGGGACTCCTGCCCAGGACAAGTGGAGAAGCTCTGACCGGGACACCCCACAAAAACACAGGAGGTGACCGGGTTTCGGTCTCCGTGTCCGTTGTGAAGACGAAACGTTCCAAGGTGGGAATGTCTTCATGCAGGATGCCGTCTTCTGCCGGAGGCCGAGTCGCAGAACGTGGGCTTTGCAAGAACTCCTTGGGGAGAAGAAGCCACACGGAGCACTCGTTGATGCCGTCACAGCAAAGTCCACCTCATTTGGCCAATGGAAACGAGAAAGATAAACAACACCTGGAGTTGGAATGACTTGAGTGCTGTCTTGTTGACGGGCCTTTGTTGATAGGCCCACAAGAGTCCACTCACGTGGAGAACTCTTATCAACGACTCGGTCCAATGCTGGAGGATGCCAATGAGATGAACGAATGCTAGAAGTGGAACGGAGCGTTGGAACGAAGCTTCCAATTTGGGGGTTCTTTTGTTGCGTGTCATGTCCCAACCAAGCAACAAGAAGTCCTGACTTCTCCATTCTTCCATGCCAGCTTCTTCAATACCGAACTTTGGAGTCCTATCCGTACGTGAGTGACCAAAAACTGGCTGGCCTGCTTGTGACCATGTCGAAGGTTTGGGAAAGTAGCATAGGAAGTATACGCCACTCGCAGACTCCGCTATATTTGCATATATGTGCAACCAAAATCAAGCCAGTTCCAGGGTGCACATCACTTCACGATTCAGGAATGAACAGTCTCCGCCAGTATCCATCTACTCGCCAAGCCTTCGCGACCTCAGGTCAGGGCAGGTCCTGTTCCCAAACCCACTAGGACGCGACGTTCGGGGCGGCTGAGCGTCCGGTGTACAGGTGCGGAGCTGAACGACCCAAAGTGGACGCGGCAGAGGCCGAGCTGGGGGGGGGTGATGGCGTTGCCAAGCGACACCAGACACTGCATGTAGGTCATACTGAGTCATACTTCCAGATGGAGTGTTGGGAGTGTTTGAAAAGGTATAGGCCGGTATAGGTATGTATAGGGGAAGGTCACATAAAGAAGCTGAGTGAAACTGATCTTACATGAACAGTGTATAGGGTCTCAGCCCTTCATTGGACTTTCTCGGGGCCCTTCACATGACCCTAATTAGAGTGTTTTGGGAGGACTCTGCCAGGATGTCCAACAAACATGCAGCAGTTTGCGTACAAGTTGAGTCCCTTGTAGGTCTCAGTCGCTTTTCGATGCGGTTGCAAGACTGAAAGGAAAGATCGAACGCCAAACAGGCGAGCTTGTCGATAAACAACCACATGCAACTGGAATCAATTATGACATGGAGTTCACACAAGATCCATTGGGAGATCAGGAATCGCACACGTGAAACATGTTTATTGTCATTCCCTATTGACCCATGTACCCCCTTTGAGAGGGTGGTCGGAGAATGTTGGAGACACCTGTATGTAGGCGTTTGGGTCGGGCCTGGCGGCCAGTCGTATCCCGTCGTACCGAAGCCGAGTGTTTGGTGGATCGGATTATACCTATGGGCCATGGGATTGTGCAGAAGGCCTGAAGATCTCTCTGAGTTGATATCCCCCAAGTACCATGGACTGTCGGCTTCTTGCGTGGCCCGGTGAGGAAACCAAACCGATTCTAGCTCCTCAAGGGGTTATATACCTTTGCTCGGAACCAAATCACATACCGCTCTCTTTGAGAAAGGCCTGCAACCTAATCATCATGCACGGATCGCCCTTGGACTGGGATAGACCACAATTGCTTCAATGTTTCTAGTGGCCGGTTGTTTTCAGATGCACTTGGTGAAACCTTTCGCGGGGCGGAATTCCGCTGATGGTGGGAGCTGGGTCCCCAAACGATCTTGTGGTCCCCATGAAGTGATAGAGTTCGTCCACTTTCCATGGCGAAGATCTCGGTGCCATTTAGAATTGAATGTATACGTTCAGCAGTCATTTACTCCCCCTTGTACCACTATCAATGTAATTAGATGCCTTGGTCCTATAATATGATGAAACCGACCCTGAATTTATAGTAATATTATTAGCAGCGTTCGAGTTTTCTTTTGTGTTTGTGTGTTATTCTTGTTCTATCCATGTGGGGTCATGTTTTCCAGTACCCACAGCCCGGGGGAGCATCCATTTGATGATCATGCACCCATCCTCAGGCGCAAACAGAAAGGAAGAACAAAGCACAGGTGCCTGCGTGTAGTTTGTGCAGGGAGGATCGTGGATTCCGATCCTGGCTTGCAACACATGCATTGAGACTACCCAAAGGCTCAGGACCCTCATAGCCAGGGATTTGACCCTCACAACCAGGGTTTTGGACCTCCAATATGTAGCAGTTTGAGGGTTCAGGATGCTCGGGTATGATATGGTAAGGTGGCTAACCTACGTTTGATTGAAAGAACCCCAAATGCCTTTAAATGCATCTTAAGATGACATATTGATCTGTATATACACTGACCCCTGAAACTGAAGCCACCCCAATGTACATGTAGACCAGTGGTAACTATATAACTCACCCCAACGCACATGTTCATGTGGTTTGTGAAAGCTGCTCTTCTGGCATCGATTTGGTCCGGACGGTTTTTAGCACGCTTGGCTTGGGTGGATCCACGAAATAGACGTCGGTGTGGGTCAAAACCAAGGAACCCTAGTTTTTCCCACCCCAAACATGAACAGAGTGGACTACTGGGGGCCCTGGTCAACCCACCAGAACGGCGCCACGATTCCGGGGCGATTCCGGTCCCTTGGAGCAACTGGTCACTTACAGTAGTTTCAGAGGTTCGATGGCGCAATTCCCAAACATGTGGTTTATATGAACCCCCCCCAAGTAAAAGACCTCTTGGGGTCTTTGCCATCTACTCTGAAACGACTGCCACTGTTTGTAAGCCATATATAAAGGGTTACTAGTGACCTCCTACGCCCCTGAAGACTCTTGGTGGTTTATCCTGGTTTGGCTGATCATGGGCCAATCCCCGAAACATAGGGAAAGATTTGTACTGTGTTTCCCGGATTCCTGGACTCAAATCCAAGCGATGCAATTGTTGATCACCCCTTGACTAATAATGAGGGATTTGAGCCAGGAGCTCAGAGCGGGATGTCGTGACCTCTTACTGTTTGGTTACCGGCGGCAGCAAGCCTCGCAAGGATTTGCTGCAATTGAGCTTCAACCCATGCTCTGAGATCCTCTACAGAGGTCGGAGCGCAGACGAATGCTTCGTTTCGGTGGCCTTTGCCGAGTGTTCATGTGACGGGTCCAGGACTCTCCGCTGCTTGGAGATCCTGCAAGGCCCCAGTGAAAGACCATATACGAAGGAGAACCTCCGTTCGACCATCCGAACAGGAATTGCACTGGACGCATAGGTTTACCATGCATGGTTAAACCCTGGGCTACCTGCCAGACCGCACGGCTGTTGGAAGTAAATGTAACAGGGTTAAACACATTGACATTATACCCTATAGGGATCCAGTGGTACCTTCTCAGGTTCGGTACGACTAGACCCGACGTTTTGGCACCGACAGAACAGTATACGGTGCCTCCTTCCTCACCTTCTGGTACCAAAAACGGATCCCTATACCAGCACCTTCCAACAGGTCTCCTCTGGAGGCTTTCGTAGACTTAAAAGGCGCAGGTGGTGACCTGTTGGAAGTTCCTGGTAGGTGATGTATTAATGCTTTGTCATCCCGGTCACCAGGTCACCAGTCTTTGGCATCCAACCTGAGATCCGAGCGCCTAGCCGACCCGCCGAGCGCCTCGAGCTGGAGTTCAGCCTAGCCGCCCGAGCACCGGCGGCGGTCTACGGCCCCGTCCACCGAAGCTCGTAGCTCGCATGGCTCAGGTCCCTAGGGCTCCTGGCCTAGCTCCGTTTCGGTTCGGTGGGCCAGGGGTGGGTGCCAGGGGGGGTCTAACTTCCTGAGGAGATGGGTCAGGAGCCCTAAGGGGGTATCAGATGTGTTGATCAAAGATGAGGTGACTTAACCATGATCTTTCAGCCCGTGCCGGGAGACAAGCCTAGCCTCGGCTGTCAAACCACATAACTTGAGAGAATGTGGATTTCCAGCTGTTTGGTGGAGAGTTCCGACTCGCAACTCGAGAGCGCAGCCGTCACAGGCTTGCTGCGAGAGCTGCATGAGGACCATCGGAAACAAAAGTCCGGTGTTTAGGGGGGGCACTCAGGCGGTTGCAAGTTGCAGAAGTCCTGGCAAAGAAGCATGGCAAAGATGTTTGTGGGTGTTTTGTGCGAGAGACGAGTGGTGGTAAAGGATGTATGATGGTCACCCAAACACTGTAAAGCGATACACTGAAGTACCAAAATCGATACCCGGACATGACATGCGAACCCGCTTTCTTTCCTAAGAGGTTTGCCGCTCGCTCATGCTTTTTTGAGGGAGTCTGACCCAAAAAGTGAACCCCCTAGCAACCTAGTTCCTTGATATCTTCCTTCTTCGATCAATCTCGCTCCATCTTTATCACCTCTGTGCCGCATCTCGCACAGTCGACCGACATGTCAGTCGTCCGAGTGTTTCGGTCTCGCGACGGCGGAGCTCGAGATCCATCCGCGGGTGGAGCAGTCCTCATGGATCCATTGCAACCCTGTTTTGGAGGGTCGACCGAGAAGGACACCAGGAGGGTCGTAGGCAGGAGGGTTGGACTGTACCGAACCTGAGGTACGGGCTGAAGCGTGGATCCGTAGAAGAGCGGTTAGATCCAGCTTCATCCAGCTTCCGGGTTCATGACGTCAAGACGTGACCAGGATGTCCAATGGTTCTCATTTCAGCGGCAGGACACCTTTCACGATGGGACCGCCATGCTGGTGAACCTGTGTTGCTGGCAGGAAGAGAAGTGGGCAGAGGAAGTTGCCGTGGCTTTTGGAAGCTTTACCAGTTGTTTTGTTCGGAGGGAATGGCCTAGGACAAAACAAGACCAGTTTGAGCTCCCAAGTATGTGTGCTCTATATATATATGTGCTATCATGTGCGCGTGCTCTCGTGCCCGTGCCCGTGCTGCGTGTGCAGACCGAAAAAAATGTGTGCTCTCCCCAGACCTCCCGATCTCTAGACATCTCTCTCCACCTCTAGACCTGATGGATTGAGACACCTCAATAAGACCATTCTACACCTAGATCCTAGTCTTGTTGACCTAGACCTAGACTTAGACTTAGACTTCTAGACCTAGACCTAGACTAGACCTAGATCCTAGTCTTGTTGACCTAGACTCTCTCTAGACCTAGACTTCTAGACCTGATGTTGAGACCCACAGAGACCTCAGCGTCCCGACGCCGACCTTCCATGCCCACCACATCCTCACACATCCTCACACGTCCTCACCACCGAATGGTTAAAGAAGAGGGTTGCAATTGCAAAGAGAGTTGATGTACATGGCTCCTTTCCTTTGTCCTTCGCTTTTGATCTTTCTGTAGTGGAAACAGTCTTTAAGGGTTGAAGTGAAATTGATGCATGTTTGTGAACACTTTCGGAATTTACGAGATAAGGGCAGCAATTAATTTGTTCTCTGTTAGTTTCCTTGCCTCTAGCTTTCTTGGATTGATAGGGGTGTGTGGCACAAAAGTCTTTTACAAGAGTGCCCCGCAAGAGTGTTCCACAAGACTGTCCTACAAAAGTGTCCTACAAGAGTGTCCCGCAAGGGTGTCCCATAAGAGTTTCCTATTATCCCGGCAAGAGATCCCGAAACAGTGTGTCTTGAGGTCTGTCAGGTCCAGAGGTGTAGAAGCACAAGGTCTAGAGGTCTAGACCGAATGGCTCCAGAGAGATCTCGATGTCTAGAAAGATCTAAACACCTGGAAGTCTAGATCTGGAGATCTAGAGGCCTGGAGCTTTGGAGATCGAGATGTCTTGAGATTCAGAGATATGAAGCCTCAAAAATTCTCGAGCTAGAGATTATGACCAGAGCCTAGAGCTCTACAAATCAGAGGTGTAGGGGTGTTGAGGACTTGAGATCCAGAGAGATCTAGACATCTGGCTCTACAGGTCTCTAGGTCTAGAGCTCTTGAAACAGAGAACTCTAGAAACCCAGAGGTCTCAAGGCTGCGCATCAAGATTCACTATGCGCAGCCCTGCCCAGACTTTTTGCAGCAAGAGCGCTTCCAAGACAACGTCAAGATGCCAGAATGAAATTGTTGCTCCCTGAAAGCCAGCCACATGTCTAAAGGTCACGAGTCACTGCACCTGCTATGAAATCAGAGCGCGCCGAAGACCACAACCATGTCCAAAGCGCTGCGCTTGCCACGAAGTAAACCGCTCCGATCTCCTGCGCCAGCCCATCAAGTCCGAAAGCGAGCACGGCGCCACAAGGAGAGCACAGTCGAGGAAAGCACACGCTCGCGCCCAGATTCTGCGAGCCTGCGCAGCCGAAATGCATTTAAGAACCCCTATAGTGTGACCACACTGCTTGGGGAAAGAAACTCGTTCCTGGCACGGCCATGAGGTTTATGCCTTCATGCTTTGCAGCATCGCTTCAGGCTTGCTGGGATCATGCGTCAAAAGCGATAGACCCATTGCCCTGAGTGAGACAATTTGGGTGTACAGTGAACAGATCCGTGCCACAAACTCTAAACTCTAAACTCTAGACGGATACACTACTATTTTTGTGGACAGTTGAGCAACGTCATAAACCTCTATGAAAGAATTTAGGCAGGACTTAAGATGATGAATCTGTGCGAAAGGAAAACTGCAGTTGGGGAAAGCTTGGCGAAAGGTTTGGAGAAAGGCTCTGATTTTTTGATGAATGGATTTTGTCGCGAAAGGGTTGGCGAAGAGGTTTTCAGTACAAAGCATGTCATCCAAAGATTCATGAAAACCAGGCGAAAGGTTGGCGAAAGGTTCGCGAAGATGTGGCGAAAGCAGTGGTTGCAGATTAGGAATGATTCCCCTTTGCTGATACTTTTCTTAGATGTAAGTAGCAGAAACTCGGCGAAAGGGTTAGCTAAAGAGGTTGTCGGGTGAAGTGGGTCGGCGAAAGCAAAACATGCAGCCGCGAAAGCGTTGCGAAGGGATTGGCGAAAGGTTGTTATAATCTTAATAAAAGTTCCGGATGGTTTTTGACACCGCTCAGTTGGGTCAGAGTGAGGTCGTGCTTTTGTTTAAAGAGGATTATATTTCTTCAAGGTGTCCATCTTTGTTGTTTTTCACTAGGTGGAACATGATCAACGTGGATGAATAAGATGCCAATCTCAAAAGACAAACCAACGGGGTGTTGGTTGGAGGGATGTTTAAAATTCATGGCCCCTGACCCGGAAAGAGGCTCAGACTCCAGGGGGGGCCATGCAAACATTGCAAAAAAGAACACACTTAAGATTCCACAGCCTTCCCAGTCTTAGAACTTCAGTTGAACAGATTTTGGACACCCCAAAATGTAATATTCTTCACTTCGTGACCCAGGCTGCTCCGAGGTCACTAAGAAGCTGGCCCATGTATGACCCCATTGATCATAGAGGCTTCAAACCGGGCCATGAACCACAGGGTCCTTAGGTGTCTCATCGCAGGTCCTCAGCTTCGCGCCTCATCGAGGCGAATCGAATGAGCAGCCGAGCGCATCCGTGCGCTGCGAGCGGCTGGGGCATGGTGTTTCCCATCCGGGCTCCAACCATGGGATGGTACATCGGCTGCAAACTTGGGTGTGATGGAATGTTTAGAACATTTTAGAACCGAACATGCCCAAAGACTTCATGTGTCACTCCGGCCAGATTCTTCTGCTTATAATCCCTAGGGCTCCTGGCCTAGCTCCTGAGCAGGTGGGCCAGGGGTGGGTGCCAGGATGGTCTAACCGTCTTCTGAGGAGATGGTTGGAGCCCTTAGGGAATGTACCACGACGGGAAACGTCCAGGTTTCCAGAGTGGTCTGACACTGAGCTGCTATGAATTGGTGTGTGCAATATTTGTCGTCAAGACTCAAGACTCAAGACTTCGGAGCTAGGTGCACTGGCAAAATTACAACAACGTGCTTGAAGGGGTGGTTGAAAAGGACACGCATCTCTCGCAACAAAAATACATGGAAAGGCTTGTTTAATACATTCGAAGATGATTTCCGGGGTTGTTTGGTCTACTCCCTGTGTCCGAAACGTGAGACTCATGCGGCACCCTTAGGCACCATGGCACCCCCGCCACGGGCGTCAAAAACTCTTGTTTGAGAGTGGGGTTCAAAGGGCTTGAGATTCAGTCAATCTCATAATCCACATCTTCCTTGAACGATCTGAAGAGTAAGTGGTTGAACCAACCTTCAGTCCTTTCATGTCCTTTCCAAAAAAATGCGCAGGGTCTGAAAGGACTTCATATATTGTAAGGGCTCCGCCCGGGTGCCGCCGACCCCTTTTCATCT